TATGCAAAACAACTTAATACTTAAGATACTTACGAGTGTTAGCAGTACGTCTCAGTTCAGCCTGTACACTAGTCTGTCCAGATGAAATGGCCTCGGTTGTCGTTTTACACATATCCTGCATTAAGAAGATAAAAGATCATTATTTCACATTTAGAATAATGAAGCATGTCAATGCAAGGGTATGCATGAAAGACAAGAAAACCTTTAGTGATCAACAAATGTTGAACGAACTGAACGCAAAACAGTGTATGGCATGGGGTGCAAGACAATTTTTGGATGAAATTCCAACAATAAAATTGTTCAATAATCAACAGTTGAAAGGTTAGTTCACCTTTGTCTTACAGGTTTGTTGTTCCAAACCTGTAAGACCTTTGTTCATCTTCGGAACACAAATTAAGATATTTCTGATGAAATCCGAGAGCTTTCTGACCCTCCATAGAGAGCAATGCACCTGAAATGTTCCCAGAGCCAGAAAAGTAGTAAGGACATCGTTAAAACAGTCCATGTGACATCAGTGGTTCAACCGCAATTTTACAAAGCTATGAGAATACTTTTTGTGCACAAAGAAAACAAAAATAACGACTTTATTCAATAATTCTTCTCCTCAAAACCACATATTCCGTCATTATCGAGAGTACCACAACGCATACGCGTGCTTTCCTGTGCGTAAACAAGGCACAGCACATTGTTTACATGCAGAGGTACTCTTGATTAGAGATGTAACGATTACCGGTTTGACGATAAATCATGATAAAATTCCCTACAGTTAGTATTCACATTTCATCTTTTAATAATCATTAAAACCGTATTAGATTACCGCGATTTGAACAACTCGCGATAAATAAATGAAGAGTTTGTTTTTTTTTTATTTTTATTTTTGAACTTTAAATTGAGTTTCCGCCAAAATCAGTATTGTATCTGGTCGGTATTGAAAAGTAAATTTTTAACTTTACGCAAAATGCGATATCTGCCGAGTTATTCTGTCATGTTTGCTGTAGACAGTAATGGCGGCGCTTTGAATACACCTGGCATCCGTTTTCCTCATCTATTTTGTACTTTGTGATCAACAAACAAACTTAGGGCTGCACGATAAATCGCATGTGTTTGTCATGCGCATCTCGTCAGTAAAGACGCTTCTGTGATTAATAGTAAACCTCCATCACGTGCTTTCAGATGGAGCGGCATTTAATACACAGAGCCGTAGATCACTGCAATATCGCGTTCATAATCGTAGATGAGTCGCATTCGATTATGAACGCGATATTGCGTAGCTTGTCAGTGTAAGTGTTTTTATTAATGCCATTAATGTTTTTGTTAATACAGCTTATAGCACTAGTCAACTAAATGAATGTAACATGGCAAATATGAATGCACTTTTGGAAGTTGAATGTAACGGAAATGTCATTTTTTTTGGTCTAATGTGATATTGTTGTTCATGTATGTTCATGATGAAATTTTCTTTTATTGTTGCAATTAATTTATAGCATTAACAAGATGACCCATTGAATTCATTTTGGGAGCGATGACTGATTGAATGTATTTTTAGTCCAGTGCCTGTATATAAGATTAGTATTGACCAAGTTCAGAGGCTGTCATATGTGAATACATAACTTACTATGTTGTGCATTTTCAACAGTTTCAAAATGAAAAATAACTTTTATATTGATTCAATGGATTTATTGCATTTTTGAAAAAAAAAAAAGTGTGTCATGGATTTATTGCATTTTGGGGGAAAAATAAAATAATTTTATAATAAATCTGTGAAAATCAAAATCTGGATTTTAATTTTTAATGTTATTATAACCTAAAGATGCTATGTGAAAGTTAGAAACAGAAAACAGTGGTTTTCAACTTGCCACTTTCTTGGTAAAGAAAACACATTTTTACTCAAATTTATCAAAATGGATTTATAGCGTTTTGGAACCAAACTCTTCAATTATTAAATGTTAAATTAAAAAATGTTAATTAATTATTATGTATAATTAATAATAAATGATTACATTAAAATGTGATGAACGGCATGTTTTTTTATCAAGCTTGATGCAATAAAACAGTTAAGAGGGCTCCTAGCCTACTACCTCATTGGGGTTCTCAGTAGGGAAGTCTTCCACTGGTGGAATGATTCCCTGAGCAATCAGCTGACCGTAAGAGGGCGGGGCCTGCTGCTGGATCAGTTCAGCCTCTTGCCGAGTGATTGGCGCGAACATGCTGAGAAAACAAGAGAACAGTACACAGAAATACTGTCAATAAAAGCTACTATTATAACATAATAAACCACATAATGACATTCTGATCTTATTTTTTTTTTTTTAATCACTGACATTGTTGTAAAATTAATCTAATATTATATAGTTATTATCTGGTTTAAATTGTTTTACCTGTACTCTCGAGTGCGTAGGGAGTACAGCTTGCAGGTGCAGCCCATTGCAATGACTAGCAGAAGTCCACAAACCAGGCTTCCAACGGTAGCTGCGGTTATGACTTTTCGGGGCAGGGTCACAGTGCAGTTAAGCTCATCTGTGCCGTCCTTACAGTCCACCTGGTCACTATAATCGTGATAAGAAATTTTCATACCGTTACATCCTTACTCTCGATAATAGTGGAAGATATGATTTGGAGGAGAAGAATTGTTGAATAAAGTCATTACCTTTGTTTTCTTTGCACACAAAAAGTATTCTCGTAGCTTGGTAAAATTAAGGTTCAGCCACTGATGTCACATGGACTGTTTTACTGATGTCCTTACTACGTTTCTGGGCCTTGTAACATTTCAGTCGCATTGCTGTCTAAGCAGGGTCAGAGAGCTCTCGGATTTAATTTCATCAAAAATATCTTAATTTGTGTTCAGAAGATGAACGAAGGTCTTACGGGTTTGGAACAACATGAGGGTGAGTAATTGATGACTAATTTTTGATGATTTGATGATGATCCATTTCTGGGTGAACTATCCCTTTAAAACATAAACATCACCTGTCTATACACATGCTTTGCATGTTTGAGAATGGCTATGATGTCCCCGATGACTGTAATTCCCAAGTCCATCATTATTTCCTTACTGAGGTCCATGAGCATGCTTTTCTGAATCCTGAAAACAGAAAAGTAGAGGCTTTTACAGCATCCAGTTGTGCAGTACATGAGTAACATTTTGTTCAGAATGTTGTCTGTTCACATTTCAGAGAAGGCCAGATTTTGACTGTTAAAAATGGTGAGTAGACATCCAGCAAGTAAAGCACACATAAGCAGACCGAGACCAATCCTGTACTGAACCAGATGAACTAGTTAATGTCTATTTAGACATGCTTACTACAGTGGCTACCTTTACAAGGACATCTTTTGCTTTAGTCGGAATGAAATTATTCTGATTGATGAATCTGAATGCAGCATCTAAATAAATTGGGTTGATGTGCAGGTTTATATATCATAAGCTTCATATCAGATTTGATCTTTTGACACGCACACACTGCACAAATATACAGTTTCCTGTTGTTTGCTCATAGTGTTCTCCTACCATTGCTTCTTTACTTTGTTTTAAAGAGCAGACTTCATATTTATCTTGGGTCCTAATTAGGAGACGACAAGCACATGTCGCTTTATGCTGTGCTGTTTATATTTATCAAGCCATAACATTGCCCATTCCTGTGGCCAAAACAAGCCATCTTTGAATGAGAGAAGTGAGGACTGATGAGATGTTGTTCTGCTCCACTTCACAGACAATCAATGGAAGGAGAATTCTAGAATAACATGATAGTCATTCATGACACTTCATTCTGCAAAAACAACAGATTGTTCCACCTGTCATATGTCATTACGACATTTCTACATCATTACGCTTGCGCAGTACTTTACAGTTCCAGTTTTCAATGCGATTAAGTGTTTACATGTCCTCTAGATCAGGTTTAGAAAAAGTCTACACAACCCATTTCCAATCCGAACAAAACTTAAAGGTGTCATATGATGCGATTTCAATTTTTCCTTTCTCTTTGAAGTGTTACAAGCTCTTGGTGCATAAAGAAGATCTGTAAAGCTGCCAAGACTAAAGTCTCAAATCCAAAGAGATATTCTTTATAAAAGTTAAGTCAACCACGCCTACCTAAAACGGCTCGTAAAATAATATTATTTTTAGCAACATCATATGACCCCTTTAATTCAGATCAAGCTCAATCAGATCGATTAAGGTGTTTTCATGAAGGATTTTTAGTTAAATTGAGCCTTCAATCCGATTACTAGTGGATTATTTGGTTGCATGTAAACGTAGCTAGTGAAAGCCAATGATTCGGTTTTACCTGTTATCAACAAACGACACTGCGTAGTTGACGGCCAGTCCAGGAGGGATCCCAGCATCTTTGAAGAACTGGATCCATTCTGAGGTGGCTAAAAAAATGAAAAGGTGGTTATATGCATTCTGAAGAATACAATACATTTTGAACCAAAGAGAAACTTACACATTTTTGTCACAAAGTGACTGTAAAATTAAAACTGCCAGCAATGTTACACATATTATGGTCAAGACCACCATATTATCTGTTGATATAGAAACAATATTCTATCTTGTATCTTATTTGTTTAGCATCCGCAGACAATGTTGTGAACTATTGTGAGCTGTCTCAGAGGAAAGTACAGATAAAATTAATAGGTTTTGATATATATATATATATTAAATGGACTCCTTAAAAAAAACCTTAAAAACTGTATCTCCATAGATCGAGAATTTATTTTAATGTTTATGTATTTGGCATTAATTGGATGGCACAGTGTGTGTTTTCATATGATTAGGGAAAAGCAACCAAATAAAGGTTAAAACAGACTCAAACTATCAATTCTAAGAGAAACAAAAATGTTGCAGACACAGCATGAAAAGGAGGTCAGCAGCATATGGGACATGCATGACAAAGAGAGAACACATGGTCAGCCAGAGCAGCTGCGTGAGTGTTATTTTTAAAGCCATGAGTCTTGTGTCAGTAACTGAATTCTCCTGCTCAAGGCTGTTCACATGATGAGCAAAACTATCTGAAAGGATACAGTCAAAATGAATTCTCACACACACACACAAAAATAAATAAATAAACGTTAAGATGTCTACATGCATATTTCCATTTAATATTCTCCACAATATTCAGTGCTCAGTACTTCAGTCATATTACTAATGCACACAAGAGGACACAATATTCTGAGGTATAAAATGGTTTGCTGATCGAAGTTGATTCCAAACACTGGTCACGTTCAGCTGGTTTAGGGGGTCAGCAAACTGGCCTCGCAGTTGAAAAGTTGCAAAAATCATTCTTAAATCAGCCAACAGACCAACCTGACCAGGCTGGGAGACTAGTTTAGTACAGCAAACCAGTTTTGGTATTTTACAAATGTTGTAATTTTACGTGTTTTTTTTTTCCAGCGGAGTATAAAACAGTACTTAGTTTGCACATACTTTCTGCCACAGTCATTTTAAGGGAGTGCTATACAAGCGTGCATACCGCAAGACCACTTGAAATGACTTTTACAATACAAAAAATATTTCCCTTTAATCGCTAATATAATATAATTAAGCACGCCTGGGTGATATAAACAGCATATAAATAACAATGCTGTGTCATAACGAGACAATAGTAATGCAGAGCGTGGCCTGTTTTCGTTGAACCAAGCCGCAGTATTGCGCTTTAGCTCTTCGTGTCCGTGAAGACCAAACCTAAACCTCCACAAGACATTCTCCTCTGAATTTCCCACCACAGATAGTTAAATGTTGATTTAAGCATCTTTGCGGACCTATACAGTGACCATATTCCATACATTAGGGTCATTTCTTTCTCTTACCTGTTGTGACCGTCGCCATCTTCCCAGGGAAAAACCGACGCGTTGCGGAAATCTTGTGACGTGACATCCTCTCCGCCTTCGGAACAACTCGACTTCTTCTTCTTCTTCTTCTTCTTCTTATGATGTTTAATGGCGGTTGGCAAACCAGCTTTTGGTGCATATTCCGCCACCTACTGGGATGGAGTGTGAGGCGCTGATATCAAGGGAAATGCTAATTCTCAAAAAAACAAAAAAACAACCAACCTTCTACCTATATTTTATTATATAAATTTGTTATTTTCAGAAAATTAAAAAGAGCTTTATAACCTTTATGAGAACTGTTTAACACATTCTGTAATGTCATAGAATTAATGCCGTCAGATTTTAATTCCTCTTTTAACTGTATTCTTTCCCTTTCATATGCCCTACAGTTAATCAGCACATGCTCTACAGTTTCTGGAAGTCCACAATGATTACATTGACCAGATTCATGTCTTCCTATCATCTGGAGTGATTTATTAAGAGTAGAGTGTCCAATTCTCAATCGAGATATAACTGTATCATCCCTTCTATTACCATAAGCAGTTCTTACTTGTCCTACTTGTTTATTGATATTATACAAATGTCGCCCTTTGTTACCTTTATCCCATCTCTCTCGCCATATCTTTTTGACAGCTACTTTAATTAAACCTTTAATTTCAGGTTTACTCAAGGGTATATGTATGTCAATATTTGTGTGCTTAAGAGCCTGTTTCACTATCTTGTCTACCTCCTCATATTTTGGGTTCACTCCATGCCCACACTTTCCGTACTCGTGCTCTCCTCCACATCTAGCACAACGTTGTTTTCCATTGCATACTGCAGCTACGTGACCAAACTTCTGCCACTTAAAGCATCTTATAGGTGGGGGAATATACGGTCGGACCACGTAACTCAAATATCCTAGATACACTTTCTCAGGTAATTTTTCCGCATCAAATTGAATCATTACCGAGAGGCTATCTACCTTTTGTTCATTTTTGACATATTTAAGTCTCTTCACATCTTCTACTACTGCCCCTGATAGATTTCGTTTGATAGACTCAACTGAAACATCAGTTGATATCCCTGTTATTACTCCTTTCACCCATTTCCTTTCCTCCATTATTGTACACGATACTTTTATTCCCAGCAGAGATTTTAGTCCTACTGCAGCTTTTTGCTGCTTCTTGTCATGACACAACAACCGTAATCTGCCATCTCTCACCCTCTTTGCACTATCAATCTTGCCAACTGCTTCTTTCAGAGCTTTAGTTATTTTAATTGGGTTCAACACATTAGCTGATTCCGCAAGAAATTTAAGCATTACCTTGTACTCCTCTTTCGGTCTACTAACCTGTTTCCTTTCTCTTTCACTATCTGATCCAGATGTTTGATCCCTCATTTTTTTCCTTTTACGATTTTCCACTAAAGTCCAATTACTATTTTCAGTACTTTCTAATTCCCCGCCATCCATTCCATCCGTCTCCGGAACACTTCCTGAATCTACGCAACTTCCTTCCATCACCACCTCAGTCACACCCCAGTGTTGCCACCGCCTCCTGCTTCCCTCCTCTCCATCATTGGCTTCTCCTGATTGGTCAACAGTGCGTTCCTCACGTTTATTCAGACAACAGACAAGCATCATAACGTAAGGAGAAGAGGAAGAAAAAGAGAAAGAGAAAAAAAAAGTTTTTTTTTTTTTATATATATACACTAGGGGTTTTCAGGAAGTTTAAGATTTTCTATTAAATTACAGAAAATTAAGGCATTCTTTTTCTTCATTCGTTTCAGCAACAAAAAGTAATGACATAGTTCCTTGTGAAATACGTAGAAATTTACAACCTAGAAACGCCGCACTGTGTGGACCTCCACAATTACAAAATTTAGGTTCAATCCCCTCACCCACATTGCCCATAATCATGATCTACGCCACATTTGCAACATCTCCTTCTCCCTTTACAAACTGCTGCAACATGTCCCAATCTTTGGCAGTTAAAACATCTCAGTGCTGGTCTTATATACGGGCGAACCGTATAGCACATATATCCAATTTTTATGCGTTCCGGCAAGTTTTTGCAATTGAATGTTAATACAACAGTAGTACTATCTTCTTTCCTACCATTTTTACTAGACTGCAAACGCTTCACTTCTGTCACCATTTCATTCTTTATCTGTGTCTTTAATACTTCTTCAGATAAGGACACAGGCACCCCCAAGATTACTCCTTTAAGATTATCAAGTTCCCCCGGTACATGATACATGACATCTGCACCACCTAGTTCTTTGATCTTTAACGCATTCTCTTGTTGCTTTCTATTTACGCAAAACGCAAAAACGCGATTGTTTGATAAGTACCTTGCAGAGTTAACATTGCCTAGTACTTTCTTTATTATTTTCGTAAATTTCATTGGATTGTTGATGTTTTCGATTTTTCCGGAAAATGCTACTATTACTTTATATTCCACCTCCATTTTCCTGGTTTTGTTATTTCCTCCTATCTCTGTGATATTGTCATCCAACTCAGATTCTCTACTTTTTCATTTGTTTGATGCTCCCTGCATCCAGTCTCAGCACAGTTGATGCTAACCCGCCAAAAAAACGGCGGCCAGAACAACGCGCTACACGCGCTACCAGGTGTGGAGGCAGGGTTTATCGCTGTCTCTGCGCGCGCCGGCTGAAGACGCCAGCGCTGACGTCACTGTGACGCAACCCGGCGGAGGATTTCCCACAACATCCCGACACTGAACACACAGAGCTCATGTGATTAAAGGATTAGTTCACACACAACGGGGAAAAAATACTATGGAGACCAAAATCTGTTTGGTTACCCACATTCTTCAAAATGTCTTCACAAGAAAGAAACTCATGCAGGTTTGGAACATTTTAAAGGGGTGATATGATGCGATTTCAATTCTTCCTTTCTCTTTGGAGTGTTACAAGCTCTTGGTGCATAAAGAAGATCTGTAAAGTTGCAAAGACTAAAGTCTCAAATCCAAAGAGATATTCTTTATCAAAGTTAAGAGTCAACCACGCCCCCCTAAAACGGCTCTTTCTAACACGCCCCCACATATCTACCTCACTATGTGG